GCATTCGTATCATATATATAGGTACACATAACACAATTCCATTTCTCACATATATCCAAATCTATATCGGAATTTTAACAAACGCGTTTTATGTTATTTTATAAGGGGAAAAAGAATTGAAAATTATTTACAAATAAATTTTGTTTTCGAAAGAAAAAAAAAACGATTAATGTTAAAAATATTTTTTAAAACGTTCAGAAAAAAATATTTGATAAAAAGGTTTATACACAGAATTGGAAGCACATTTTCAGAAAGACGATTCTCACACCCATCCAATTTTTCAAGCTTCGAAAGAGACATTCATACCCAGAGGAAATCGAGAATAGTTTCATCGTATTTTTCAATTTTTAACATTTTTGACATAATAAAAATTTTACCATTTATTCAAACTATACATCTTACTTATTGAAACAACAATCACTTAAAATTTATTATATTATTGTAAAGTTAAATAAATGGTATAAATAATATAATTTTTTTATGGTATGGCAAGGTTCTCATAGTTCGTTTCCAAAATTTGGTTTTCATTAAGAAAAAAATGTTAATAAGAAAAAATTTTTTTATTTTAAAAAAGAGTTTTCATTCACTCTGATCATGGATTTTTTTTATAACCAGTGGAGAAATAGTTACAAATAGACTCAATAGGATTTAGTTAGCCTCGATAGTTTTCCTATAGTTAGGAAAAACAAGAAATAGATTTTTTAATTTATATTATTTTAAAAATATTAACAAATAAAGTAAATCGTTATCCTATTGTTTACACCTAGTTTTGAAATAGGGCTCTGGCTAGGGTCTAACTAGTTTTCCTAATTTAACCCTTTCGTGCCTCCGGTACATATATGTACCACTTACAAAATTTGATGTAACTCTTACAAATTTAACCCAATCAGTAATTCCAATGGATAGTTTTATTGGCAATCGTTATTACTATATGTTAAAAAATAGAAAACAGTATTATACAGTTATAATTATTTTAAACAATAGGTACAACATTGATAAAAAATTAACAAAAGTTATATATCAATAATGTTAAGTCATTCATTTAGGCTTCATCCGTTTTTAACAACACATTGACTTTTAATATTTTCGAGGTCGCTGATTACGAAACTGGAGTCAGATTTTCAAAATGCAAAATGGCGGATCCAATATGGCGGTCGAATATCCAAAATTTTATCTGTTCTCTTCAAATTCGTCACTCGGGGGTTTTTGGGGTCGCTGATTACGAATCTGAAGTCAGATTTTCAAAATTCAAAATGGCGGATCCAATATGGAGGAATAAATTTCAAAATTTCACCGATTTCCCTTAAAACTCATCACTCGGGGGTTATTAAAATTATTATTTTATTAAACTAATTATATTGAAAATATTAATTTTATTTTAATCACCATCTTAAAATTATATTTAATTAATTTCTTTCATATTACAAATTTTTGTATTTTGTTATATGTAAAGCTTACATCGATTTTGAAAATTCGCGCGACTCACATGATAATGAAATTTATCCACCTTGTTAAAATAGGGTTCTTGGCGAAGGTTCACTGTAAAAAAAACCTAACGCGCCTTATTCGGAACCTCTTAGGTGGTGTGGAAGACCGTCACCGCTGCAAACAATTGATTTGAAAGTGAGAAAAATTTAAGAATTTCTAAAAATTTTTTTGAACAAACTCGATCCGTCATTTTGAATTTTGAAAATCTGACTGCAGATTCGTAATCAGCGACCCCAAAAACCCCCGAGTGATGAGTTTTAAGGGGAACAGATAAAATTTTGAAAATTAGTCCGCCATATTAGATCCGCCATTTTGAATTTTGAAAATCTGACTTCAGATTCGTAATCAGCGACCCCAAAAACCCCCGAGTGATGAGTTTTAAGGGGAACAGATAAAATTTTGAAAATTAGTCCGCCATATTGGATCCGCCATTTTGAATTTTGAAAATCTGACTTCAGATTCGTAATCAGCGACCCCAAAAACCCCCGAGTGACGAGTTTCAACAAAATCTATAAGCTAGGTTGCCCGGGGGCACGAAAGGGTTAAAAAAACTGTCAACAAATTAAATTTTAAAAAATTATCATTTATTATAGACATATTTTACATAATTAAAGCGAGTTTTCATACTACTGTTTTAACTAGATTTAAAATAGGTATCTGGTCAGGCTGTGTACAGTTTTCTTAGATGGAAATAAATATAAATTAGTTTCTAATAATATGTTTGGTTAAAAAATGTTATTAACATCTAATAAAAAATTCTTTATACTACTACTTTTACTAAATTTTAAATAGGGCTCTGATCAGGGTCTAGCCAGTTCTTCAAGTTTGAAAAATGAAAATAATTTTTTATAACTATGCATTTAGTAAATAATGTTATTAAAAACTAAAACAAATCTTTATACTATCACTTTAACTATACTTTAAAAAGGGCTCCGTCCAATGTCTAGCCAGTTTTCCTAGTTTGAAACAATTTTAACAAATAAATTCTTTTAAACTACTGTTTATTCGAAAGTTATTACATAATTAAAGAATATCTTTATGCTACTGTTTCACTAGATTTAAAATAGGGCTCTGGTCAGGATGTAGACAGTTTGCCTAGTTTGAAAATAAATATAAATTAGTTTTTGTAATATTACGGTCGGTAAAAAATGTTATTAAAAGCTCAAGAGAATTTTCATATTACCGTTTTAACTAGAATTAAAATAGGGCTCTGGTTAGGATGTAGACAGTTTGTCTAGTTTGAAAAAATGTAAATAAATTTTAAAAATTACGTTTGGTAGAATATATTAATAATAATTAAAGAAAATCTTCATAGCTTTAACTAGATTTTAAATATGACTATGGTTAGTGTCTAGTAAGTTTTCCTAGTTTGAAAAAAAATGTAAATATATTTAGTTTTTAAAATTTTTTGACCGTTTGTGAGAAAGTGATTAATAATTAATAAAAATAATAGTATGCTACTGTTTTAATTATTTTTTTCTGTTGAAATTGTTTGTTTTTTTTGAAAATATAATATGAATATAGTTAATATTACTATTTAAATAATTATTTATTTCGTATAATTTATAGGAAAACAGTTTTTACCAAATAAAAGTTTTCGAAAATCCAAAAAAAACGAACAATAATTTTATCGAAATTGTTGAAAATCTCCAGAAACTTATTATACTCACAGAAGTTTTTTGAAATCGCTGAATTTACGAATCTGACATTACATTATGTTCATAATTCGCGAAGCTAATAAAGTGCAGACAATAATTTTAAACTTTTGAAATTATATCGACAACTTAGAAAATAAACTTTTTCCATTATTAACAATTTTTAAAATATAAACTATTATACAATATATATAATAGCCGAACCCCTATTTAAATTCACTAAAAATATTAAATATTATTTTGATTAAATTTATATTTAATAAAAAATTTTTACATTTGAAATTTATTTATATTTTAATATCAACATAAAGTATATTTTAACCTGCATCTGTGAACTAAATTTTCATCTATTTTGCAATTAAAAAGTTAATTAGAAACGGAATAAGTTTTCATATGTTTTCAAAGATTAATTTTAGCCAAATTTTTGAAAAAAAAATTTATTCTTTCATTTTAAAAAATTTATATCTAAGCTACACCATGGATGACGTTCTACTAACCTATGACCCTAATTTTGAGGTTATGTCGCAGTATTTTTTTTTTCTATGATTTTCACCAAATTTTGAGGTTATGTTCGCCTCCACGCCTATGACATTTGACGTAAATTTAAGGCTATATTCTCTTTTGACCTGTGACCCTTGATATTTTAAAGGGGAGGGTCATCTCTTGATTTCTGATACTAATTTTAAGGTTATTTCTGTTTCAACTCCTTCAAAAACTTTGATTTTTGAGGTTATGTTCGTTTTAATTTATGATTCTGTCGTTCGAGCTTGAGTATTGATGTTATCTTAATTTTTAACCTATGTTTTTGATATAAATAGTACAATCTCTGAAATTTTCGAAACAAATTCTGAACGGTACGTGAATTTGAATGCTTCGTGAGTTGAATGGTAGGTGAGTACTGTGAGCTTCCGCGTAGCGTCGAAGTTCTCACCTAGCGTTCATTCAATCAATCATTTTTTTTTAATTTTCCATTGATCTTATTTTTCCAAATGAACCACCTATTTCAAAGAATTATTATTACAAATTCATTGAAATCTGAATAAATATTATTAAAATTAAAATTATTAAATTTTAATTAATAAATTAATTAAATTAATAATAAATAAATAATTAAGTAAATTAAAATCGATATTAAGAAATTATTTTTAAAAATAATTTCAATGAAATTGCCTAAAAACCAATAAATTATTAAAAAGTCTTAAAACAAACATAACCTCAAAATTTAGGTCATTTTTGGAGGAGGAGGAGGGGAAATGAGAGGAGGGAGGGGGGGACTTGCGGCTATATTCAGAGCCTTGAAAAGGACATAACCTCAAAATTTAGGTCATTTCTGGCGGGGGAGGGAAGGGGACTTGCGGCTATATTCAGAGTCTTGAAACGAACATAACCTTAAAATTTATGCCATTTTGGAGGAGGAGGGGAAATGAGAGGAGGGAGGGGGGACTTGCGGCTATATTCAGAGCCTTGAAACGAACATAACCTCAAAATTTAGGAGGGGGGACTCCCCCCCTCCTAGGTCAAGAATTCTTGAAACAGCGGCGGAGGCGGAGGCGGCGATATCTTTTTGTAATATAGGAAGATATATACAAATCGAAAAGTTATTATATAGTATATTTCTAAAAATAAAAGTTATTTATTTGAGTTATTCTATAAATAAAGAGAAAATCGTTATTGTTGCTTAGAACTAAAATAAGTTTATCGAACTCTGTCTGTGGCGAGGTCTATGGAACATGTATATATATATATATATACGATTCTATATTTAAATCTTACAATTAGTGTCGATCAATATTCTATATTCTTTCCATTTCTATATTTGAAATAATGTCATGTACTTGTACATTTTTTCTTTTTTAGATGATCACAACAACGGTCACACAGTTAGAGCTGCCTACTAAGCAGAAAATCGAAAATGCAGATATTGCTGTCGAAGATACACCTCAGCTACAATCTCAGGATGCACAACAACCTCTAATTTGGCGAAACATAATTGGCATTGCAATTTTACATATTTTAGGTATCTATGCATTTGCGGTCAGTTACAAGGAGGCCAAATTCTGGACCTGGGTATTCAGTAAGTATTGATAATAATAATAATAATTAATATAATAAATTATTAAATTCCACCATTAAATTTTGATTTAACTGAATTCACATTTAAAAGAATTCAAATTTCCATTTAACAGAATTCTGACCTAAATGAAGTTGGCGTGGACGCACAGAGTCGAAAAAATTATTTTTCAAGGGGATAAAAAATATCAAATCCTTTTTAAAAAGGTTTTAAGTTCGCATTATGTCTTGAAAATTATTTCTCAATGTATTATTTGTACTGTAAATTTTTTCAAAAAATAATTTTGATATTTTTTGTATCCTGTGAAAAACAATTTTCGACTTTTTTTCGTTAGCGTCGAGGCTAACTTGATGGAGGTGAATTTTGATTGAATCGAATTTTTAAATGCCAAAATTCTTATTTAACAGAAACTTTATTTTTGTCATCATAATTTTTGATAATTTATAGATTCAAAAAAATATTTCGTTCCTTTGAACGTTCAGAACTTTTGGTTCATCACGAAAAATAGTCATTTGAAAAAATATTTTAAAAATTCGAATTATCATTTAACCGACATTGCAAATGACCGAATAAATATTGAACAGAAAAGTTTTGGCGGGGATTTTAAAATCAATCACAATTTTCTTGATTATTTGTGATTGGTTAATTTTAAAATTCGTGCCAAAACTCTTCTATCGGATATTTGTATATGGCCATTTTCAATTTTGGTCAAATGAAAATTTGGGTGATTTGATAATTTTAGAAATAAATTTTAAAAGTAAATTGAAATAATAAAAAATATATTTAAAACTACTCCTAACTATTGGAATTATATATATAACCGTGGATACTTGGAAGAAAGAATATTTTTTTTTTTTTTTTGGCAAACTAACATTTCTTTTTTGTTCAAATAATGAATAGTATGGATAATTTTTTTGGCAACATTCTGATGTAATATATTTCTCTTTTCAAACAGAGAAATAAGAAATATATTATATATATATATTTTCTAATAAGATATATACTTTTCAAACTGCTTCTATATTTTCAATATGATAAATTGGATGAGATAACTTAATTGCTCTGTCTACTGGGGAATATATATTACTTCTATTTTGTGTGACAAAGCAGGGTTGTACTAAATCAAAATTTATCAATAGCTTTTTTTTTACAAAACCAATTAGTATTTATTGTATTGTTGACTAAAGGAAAAAAGCATACCGTGTCAATCGGAGCTAATTTGGTACACCAGGGGCTATTATGAGAGCGAATTAAATTATTTGGTTGTCGTAACCAAATTTTGATTGAAATTTAAAAATGTTCAACCAAATAATTTTGTTTGCCTACACTGTAAAAAGAAAGGTACTAATTTAATACCGACTTCAGGTACTAAATTGTCATTTGGTTCTATTTTGATACCTAAAATCGGTACTGTTTTAGTACTTTCTTTTTACAGTGTACTCTCTAAATTTGAATTAGCTAAAATTTTTACTGTTTGAATCAGCGAATAAAGTTTTCACTGCAAATCAGCGGATACAGCTAATAAAATAGCGAAACACGAATCGGTTGTTAGTCGCTGATTCGCAGCTGCATACTTATAGCTTTTTTAATCAGCGACTATTCGCTGCCAATCAGCGGATTTTAGCTGATTCAAATTTAGACAGTAAACAAATGTTTGGTTTTGAGATAAAATTCTATGAAATAAAAATCCTAACAAATTAATTTTAATTATTATTCATGCGTCTCAATTTTAATGTACTGTCTTAATTAAAAATAATATTTACTAAAAATTTAATTATTTGTCAGCAAAAAAAAATTTCATTATTTAAAAGTATTCTAATATTTGAAAATAAAATTCTCCTTTTTCCAAAAAGAAAAAAATCTCAGCGAGAGGAATAAGGTATAATAATAATAATAATAATAATAGATGAAAATTTTTGGTCGATTTCTCTCTGATTTTTCAAGAACATTATTTGAATTGAATTGGAGCGTTAGCTAAGTATGGAATAGGATGCTGCAGATTCTATGTTTCCCAGACTCTCTTTCTCTCTGTGGGTGTTTTTTTTTTTTTTTTTATTCACCTCATCCAACTCTGTTTCTCGACTCGTAGTTGTTGGCACGAAGCCAGTGGTCGAAAGTTGAAACACGACATGAATATGTACCCTTCGATAATTAAGGGAACGCCGCCGACTTGACCTCGATCGATTTTCGATAATCGTCAGTACGGTAATTACCACCTCGGCATTGCTGATTCGACATGGTTGAAGGTCCTTCGCACCATCACTATATATAAGATAAGGATTATTATGGACCACATAGATCATCTTCTCTATATAATCACATAATAGTCACATATATATATAATAATGGGGGTTCAATTTATATATTTTCCACTTTAATGATAAATTTTTTAAAGGCTTGCAAGTATTAAAATTATTAAAATTTTATCTAAATTTTGAGGTTATGTTCGTTTCTTAGTTAGGGGAATTTCACTGCAAAAAGAAGTATCTTATTTTAAGATGTTTTGGTCGACTTTTTAATGTTTTTTACAACTTGCTTCTAAGTTATCAAAAACATATCTTAAAATGCATTAGTTTCTTAAAATATAAGATGGATAGGAAGATACTTTTGGTAACTTGCTTCCAATGTGTTTTATAATAAGATACTTCTTTTTGCAGTGTTGAAGTTATGTTTGTTGGACATAGCCTCAAACCTAACGGTCCTTGGACCTATGCTCTAGAATTTTGAGGTTATGTTTGACATATGACCTTGAATTTTGAGGTTATGTTTAGAATAAGGCCTTGAATCCTGGAAACCTATGCTCTAGAATTTGGAGGTTATGTTTGATTTATGATTTTGAATCCTTGAACCTTGAATTTTGAGGTTATGTTCGTTTTAATACTAATATACTGAAAAAAAGTGTTGTGCTTACAACAAAATCGCTGGGTTAGGCAATTTTGGTTCTCATAACGAAATTTTGGTTGGCTGAAATAAAATCGTTGAATTATCTCAGCCAAACATTTGGTTAGGCCACCAAAATTATTTGGTTGAACATTTTTAAATTTCAAACAAAATTTGTTTACGAAAACAACATATAATTTGTTTAACACAACAAAATAGTTTGGTCTATAAAAAAACCAAATGATCATTTGTTGTCCTAACTAAAATTTGGACAATCAAATAATTTAATTCGCTTTCAGTTCGTACCTTCAGAGAACAATTAGTTTATAACAAAATTATAAAAATAACAATAAACAGAAAATAAAAAAAAAAAAACTAAAACTGTAAAATATTATAGGAAAATTAGTACCTGGAAAATTCAAGTAAGAAAATCTATTATATCTAAAAAATTAAAGATGCAATTAATTTATCCTAATTTAAATTCATTAAATAATAATTTAAACATATAGAAATTTTCACGAAATGACATACATAAAATTATAATTTATATTTTATTGGCTAGAGATATTGTCCCTCATTTCAGGGTATGCAGTAGACATGTTCGTGGTTTTCCTATATATATATATAGGTGGTGGAACGTGAGTAATACGAGAGCGCGTGGTACGTGCGAAACGATATGAATATATGCGAATCGGGTACGAGATTCGTGAAATTTTAAAGCCACCTTTTGAGATGCGGGTTACGTTTTAGGAAAATGCGAGACCACTTCGCATTTCGGGCTGAGTGCTCCTAAATTCAAAATTTAAATAGAACTTTTTACCTCGTGCCTTTGCCTCTCGTCAATATTTATTTTTCGCGTATTGACTAATTTTTTTTTTTATTTTTTTTTTAAAATAACGGAAATCGAATTTTTTAAATAAAATTTTCTTTTTTTTTGAAATCTAATTCGAATCTTTTTAAATGATTTTTTTTTTTTTTGAAATAATGGAATTCGAATTTTTTTAAATAACTTTTTTTTTTGATTTTAAAATAATAAAATTTGAATTTTTTTACATAAAATTTTTTTCTAGCACATAAGATATGGCGAAGGAGATACTCTTGCAGTAAGAGGAAAGATGAAAATTAGTCCCACTTATAATGTACACTATATAAGTACCTATATATAAAAAAGAATATTGCTGATGGTGAAAAAAAAAAAATCGAGTGCACTTACCTCTGTGTCGAAGGTCGGAACAGAAAAAGCAGCCCTCGAGACAATATTCCTTTCCGTGAGAAAACAAAACTCCCATCGATAAAGTTTCTGCGCAAAGAAAATAGAAAATTAGAGAAAATTGTCATATCTCAGAGAGAGAGAGAGAGAGAGAGATATTGAAAATTTAATTTTTAATGAACAATTTCATTTTAATTTTAATTCAAATATTATTTATATATCGACAATTTTAATGAAGTTGACTTTTCTTCAGTTGTACATTTATATCTAAAATTATTCATTTTTTTCATTAATTAATTATTAGGTGGACAATTTATAATTGTAATTGTGAATTATTAATTAAAAAATTCATATTGAATAATAATTAAATTATTACAAAGTGCATAATAATAATAGTAATAATAATAATCAAAATTATTATTATTATTATTATTATTATTATTAATTGTTGAATTTAAAATTGTAATTACACACTAAAAGAAAAAATGTATTCGATTCAAATAAATTTTTATTTAAATTAAATAATTTTTTATTTAAAATAAACAATTTTATTTACGCCAAATAAATGGGCTAATAGACTCTTGAGTAAAATATACATTTATTTAACTCAAATATATTATATTTAGTTTAAATAAAACATTTTTCTAGATGAAATAATAATCGGTTATTTGACTATTATGAAATAAATATTTACTTGAACCAAAAAAATATTTTTTATTCAAATGAATATTTATTTGTATCAAATAAATTATATTTAAATCAACAATTTTTTTTTATTTGAAACAAAAAAAAAATATAATTGACTAAAAATTTATTTTCTTCAAAGAAATATTTATTTGAGTTAAAGTAATCGATTATTTGAATAAAATAAATAATTTTTTTTTTCCAAATACAATAAGAAAAAATTGTTTGAAATTAATTTTTAAAATAAAATTTAAAAAAAAAATTTTTTTTAACTGTACATTTTTCTATTTTTATCGAATGAGCTTATGAAAAATTCAATTATTATATAGGTATCTATGATAACCATTATTTTGAAAGAATATCTCTCAAATTAAAATAATGACACAAAAGCTAAATGTTGTCAGTAATGGCGTCATAAAAAGTTTTAAATATTCTTTTTACGTAGTTTAATTTGATCAAGTTGAGATTTTCAGTTTTATACTTTCTTTTTAGGTCCACTATACGGTATATCAGCGGGCTTAGGTATCACGGCTGGGGCTCATCGTTTATGGGCTCATAGAAGTTACTCTGCAAAGTTACCGCTCAGAATATTTCTCGCTTATCTGTATTGCATGGCAGGTCAGGTAAGAAATCTTCATAAATTACTTTTTTTTTACGATTTACGAATTAAATTTACTTTCCACACGCATTAATGATGGACAATAGATTTTTTTTTTTTGCATTTTATACTTTTCAATTTATTTTCTATTATTTATTTATTACTTTCTATCAGTGTTGTTGTAATACTGCGTATTTTTATTAAATCGGATGTCGTAACAGGTGTAAAGCAAAAAAAAAAAGTGTCACCCTTGCCTCTAAATTTTCTTAAAATAAATAATAAACCTACAATTTTTTACATATATATAAATTTATTATAATATTTATTTATTTATTATAAATAAATATTTATATATAATTTAAAAGATGATGAAGAAAATAATTTTAATTAATAATAAATATTAGAAGTAGGTAAATATTTTAAGACCCCTTAATATTACGTGCCTGGATCGCTAATTGAGGTTAGTTTTCTTTTTTTTTTACCCTCCGTGCGGTAAAAAAAACAAGCGTCGGCAATAATGAATCAAAACCGCTAAACTCATTAAATTGGTGTAACAATCCTTTTATCTAAACTCAACATATATACAGAGAGAGAGAGAGAGAGAAAAAAAAAAGTAAATTTAACTTCGAGAAAAGCAAACGATAACAAAGTGATTTGGTGCCACGTTCCGCGCCCTTTTGTCGATTCAAACTTTGAGCAATAAAAATCAACCAAGAGAAAAATGTCTCGATACAAGTCTTTTTTTTTTCTTTTTCTCCTACGAATAGCTCCTTATCCACCTTTTTTCTCTCCCAAGAGAGAAAAAGAGAGAGAGAATGCCTTAAGCCAGAAGCGAAGTACTTCTTAACGCTTGGGCTCTCATGAAGTTGCCTTTTGGTACCGCCCTAGTTTTCTCCTTCTGTTTCTGCAGGAGAGTAAATGTGAAATCTTTCCATCGCTTCCCTTTTTACCTTCATGAAGCTTAACAGCCACCCAATCTTCAACCTAAAGAATTTATTTTAACACATTGCGTCACATGTATCCTGTATATAGATATAAATTTATACCAGGGAGCACGTATTTACTTTAAACAATTTCTGTCATTAAATCACGTGGACTACAATTGAAAACGTTAAGAGAAAATAAGTGAATTGGAAATTTGTTTAAAAGCAGTCAAGCGAATTTAACGACTCAATCCTTTTATCCACTATAAAAATAACTTAACTCAACATGTTTCGAGTTTAAAGTTTAATTCCAGTTGGTATTGATAAAAATTTAATTTTTTTTTTAAAGAGTAAAAAAATGTATCCTTTTTGTCTTCCACTTTTTAAAGTCGATTAATATTTAAATATTAATAATAAAAAAGTATTTCTAAAATTTTATTAATAGAAGATAATAACGATTTTATATATAATATTACACAAATTACTATAAATATAATAATATAATAAATAATATTATATAAATTTTTTCATAAGTATTAATACTTGCACGAACACGCTCCATTAGTCTAACAGTCGTGAATTGAACATAGAACTGTTCGCAGGGCTCTTTATATACTAAAGCAACGGTGCGCAGTGGTGGGAGGTAAGCGCTCACTGATTGGTTGATCGCGGAAAGTGAAAGGAGTCATTCTCCCGCCAGCGCGCAACCGACAAATCCGCTCACACTCACCCCACTACGATCACAACGTGCGGCTTGGAAATCGTATATAAGAGACGCTCGTACCTCCGAGCGTCACTCTAGGTCCAGTCTGCTAACCGTATTAATAGCAGTAATTAGCTCACCGCTGCTATTAACCAAAACTATGTTTCTCATTCTCTACTATTGTAAGAATTAAAAATTTCAAGACAATATCAATTTAAATAATGTGAAAGAAATTTATTTTTTCCGACTTTTGTCCTTATTTAATTGTTTAATTGTACTGTTGGTTCTTTGTCATTAAGGGAACAATATCAGTCACATTCGGTAATCAAAAAAACATTTATTAAGACTAAATTAAAGATCCATCGATATTCTACAAAATTATTAAACCTCAAATATGTTTACTACTACCACTATTTTAAAATAATATTAACAAATGTTATAAATAAATAAACTTTTTTCTACATTAAAAGAATATTTTTTAACCTAAAAATTAGAACCATTCTCAATAATGCTACCTAAAATGAAAAAAAATAAATAAACGTGACACGTATTTACGCATCATTATATGTTTTTTCCACTGTAAGACGGTGCAATTGTTTTTCCACATAATAAGAATTTACTCCCTCAAAATTACACACCTATTTACCATGATGTTAATACTTTCTTCTTCTCTTCCGTCTCTCGTAAACATTCAAGAAAGATTCGCTACAAGTACATAGGAATACAATTCTAAATTCTATCTCCGGTATACCACTTGAACACATCTCTCGAAGCCTGTCGAGTTTGTGTTACTTTCTTCTCTACTATACTCTACTTTAAGTTCCACGATTGAATTCCCTTTATTTTGAATCTTAACAATTTATGAACAAAAGCATTCCTTTCACAAATTCAACAATTGTATATAAAATTTTTTATAATTTGCACATTAAAATCAACTTTCATTTAAATTTTAAAAAATTACGTTGAAAAATGAAAATTAAAGAATAAAATAAATAAAAATTAGTGTCAATCCTCCAAAATCATGTAGAAAATATTTATTAAACGAGAAAGTTCGATATAACGATTTTGTATTAAAGTGGATTTAAAACACACACGATGCCGAAAGTCGTTTCAATGGTTTAGCACTTTTTCGCATTTTCCTATAATACTATCATCGAGCACTGAATTCTCTCACACTTCTCTCTCTCGCTCCTGATTCTATATCTTCTCGTACTTTTCTCAATCCTATCCTATATCTTCCATTAAATCCTCACTATACTCTCTTCTTTATATTCTCTACCCCATGCAACTATTTCCGATTTGTTTTATTTCCCTCTTCTCTTTTATCACCCCCCGTCCGTCTTGGTTCATACTCGATAATCGTTTTAGCTCGAGAATTTCATAAAAAAAAAGAAGTGCCTTTCGACGATAACGATATTCGTACTTTAACGAACTTTTCCTGGATCTCCGTTACCTTCCATTAACGGGGACTCGGTGCACTTTTACATTGTACTTTCTTCTTTGAGAGATGAAATCCTTGATTCTATTTATAAAACTAGAAGTAATTTTCGATGATCGCCGCAGTTTGCTTCAAAATTAGTGCTAATGAAGTTATTTCTATAAGAAGGAAAGAAAGAGAGAGAGAAAAAAAAATTTTGAATCTTAATGAAGGTGTAAAATTAAGAATTTTTTTTTCCTGTACAATATCCACTTTTATAATCGTAGATTTTTTTCTAATCTAATAACGAACTAAGGTGAAAATCAATAAAAAAAAAATTTCTTTTTGTGAAAAATTATTATCCCTAAAGGTTAACAAATTTTTTTGGTAAAGTTTATAAAAAAAATTTTTTTTACTATGTTTAGTTACTTTTTAAATACATAGTAATAATAAAGGAAGGAAAATTAAACCGAATGAAATATGCTCAGTGATATTGGAAATATTTTATATTACACAAATAATAAATATTTATTAATTAAACATAATTAACTAATTTTTAACTCTTTATAATTTTGTATAATAATTTGTAAATTGCAATTGACTTGAGAATATAGTTTTTATCTGGTTCTTTTCAGTCGCTTTTAACTTAAAGAGATAATAATTTCTCTCGAAAATTAATGCAGTTATTTAAATACTTAATTTACGATTTACAAATATAAAATTTTTTAGTATTGATTTTAAATACATTGCACGATAAGCAGAATTAGTTAACAAGTTTTTTTTCCCGGTATATATTGTACTGGAGTGGGGATAGCGTGGAATAACTAACCCTTGCGCGCGCAGCACAGAAGTAGGTATAGAGCTCTTGTGATTGGTAGTGACGCGCTATCCCCACTTATTTGCGGCGCGCGCAGTACAGAATGGGTGGGGAGTACCGTTTATATCTCTACTACTCGACGCACAAATTGACACTGAACTAAAAACAAGGTAAAAACTATTTTTTCTCAAGTATTTTGTAATTAATTCACAAAATATTCAGACAAATTATTAAGTGTTAAAAATAAAAGTGAAATTATTTTTTTTGTAATAAAAAAATTTACAATTTCACTGAATATATTTCACTCGGTTTATTAATTTGGTTTCTTTCTAAAAAAAATTTGTTCATTATTATATTTATTTACAAAATGGTATAAAACAAAAAAAATAATTTTAATAATCTTTTCAATAATAAAAGAATTTTTTTTGACTTTAGAGATAATTATTTCGAAAATTAATGCAGATTTTTACATTATTTATTTCTTTATCTATGATTTCTTTTTTAAATTCTTTTTTTATGTTCTATATAATTTTGTAAATATTGCTTTTAGAAAACAAATTCAGTTACTTTCTAAATGAATAGTAATAATGGATGTAAAATCATATCGAATGAAATATAATTTACAATTTTAATAAAAGTCCTTCTTCTGCGATGTTACCATTTTTTTTTATTATATTATATTTATTTCATTATATTGTAAAAGTAATTATTTTATATTTTATCTTTCAATAATTTGTCCAATAGTTTGTAAATTAATTGGAATAAACTTGAGAAAAAATAATTTAAAAAATATTTTTTACCTTGTTTAGTTCAGTGTAAATCTGTGCGTCGAGTAGTAGAGATATTAACGGTACTCCCCACCTATTCTGTACTGCGCGCGCCGCAAATAAGTGGGGATAGCGCGTCACTACCAATCACAGGAGCTCTATCCCTACTTCTGTGTTGCGCGCGCAAGGGTTAGTTATTCCACGCTATCCCCACTCCAGCCGTTTGGAAGAGTGGGCCTTAAAATTATTCTATCTCTTTTAATTTTCTTCAAATCTATTCGAAACTTCGGGAAAGCATTCCTTGTACTTTAATAAATAAAAAATGTACTAAATAAAAAAAAACCAATTTTTTGAAAAATGGTAACAGGATTCTTCTTAAATAACTGCATTTTTTCGAG